ACAAGAAGACAGCTATCTATGAGGAAGCAGGCCCTCACCAGATACTTAATTGGCTGGCCCATTGATTTTGAACTTCCCAGTCGCCTGAGCTGTGAGAAATGAATCTCTATTGTTTAGAAGCCACCCGTTCTATGGTATTTTGTTATAGCAGCTGGAATGGACTAAGACATAATCTAAACTTCATCCTCAGAGAAAAAGGGGCTTCTTTCCTTAAATTCGTGTGTAAGAAATTCTAAGGAAAAATTTGATTAATCTTATGGTCAAGGCAGTGAGATTTTATGATTGGTGGGTTCCATCAGAACCATGTGGTGTCAGTGTGGAAAAAGTAGTTACCTCCAAAACCATACATACTATATCTCCCCTAAAAAACAAGGAGATGTAATGGGCATCATTTTTTGTTTTTGTTTTTTTGAGATGGAGTTTTGCTCGTTGCTCAAGCTGGAGTGCAATGGTGCGATCTCTGCTTACTGCAACCTCTGCCTCCCAGGTTCAAGCGATTCTCCTGCCTCAGCTTCTTGACTAGCTGGGATTAGAGGCATGTGCCACCATGCTCAGCTAATCTTTTGAATTTTTAGTAGAGACAGGGTTTCACCATGTTAGCCAGGCTGATCTCGAACTCCTGACCTCTGGTGATCTGCCCTCCTTGGCCTCCCAAAGTGCTGGGATTACAGGTCTGAGCCACGGTGCCCAGACAGGCATCATGTTATCTAAGGAACAATGCATCATTATAAGGGCTATGACAAAGATAAGCACATAATGCTTTGCAGGAGCCTAGAAGGAATACAGAATTCAGGCAAAGGAGATCAAAAGGTTTCCTAGAGAAGACGATGTCTGAACTAAACCCTGAATATTTTATAGAAACTAGTCTGAAAAAACAAAAAAGAGGAAATGTTTTCACAGGAAGAAGTGGCACATGCCTGGAATCCCAGCAACTTTGGAGGCCGATGTGAGTGGTTCACTTGAGGTCAGAAGTTCAAGACCAGCCTGACCAACATGGTGAAACCTCGTGTCTACTAAAAATACAAAATTAGGCCAGGCGCAGTGGCTCATACCTGTAATCCCAGCACTTTGGGAGGCTGAGGCAGGCAGATCACCTGAGGTCAGGAGTTTGAGACTGACCTGACCAACATGGAGAAACCCTGTCTCTACTAAAAACACAAAAAAATTAGCTGTGTGTGGTGGCACATGCCTGCAATCCCAGCTACTAAGTAGGCTGAGGCAGGAGAATCACTTGAACCCGGGAGGAGGTGGTTGCAGTGAGCCCAGATTGCACCATTGCACTCCAGCCTGGGCAACAAGAGCAAAACTCTGCTTCAAAAACAAAAACAAAATTAGCTGGTGTGGTGGCACATGTCTGTAATCCCAGCTACTTGGGTGGCTGAGGCAGGAGAATCACTTTGACCCAAGAGGTGGAGGTGGAGGTTGCAATTAGCTGAAATCACACCATTGCACTCCAGCATGGGCAACAAGAGGGAAACTCCGTGTAAAAAAAAAAAAAAAAAAAGAGAGAGAGAGAAAGACCCTAAATCAAAGAAATCAGACTTATCTTTATGGTAAATTCCACCTGTTTTCAGATTCAAATGCTTGATTGGGGGAGAAAAAAAGTATGTTTGGGGCAATTGAGGAACTATAAATATAAGCTCTATATTAGATAATGTTGGAAAATGTTAATAGTTTTTAAGGTGTAATACCTAACTTGAATAGCCAGTGGCCTAAAACAACAGCAATATAGGGGAAATAATTTAGTATGCCTGAAACATTGAGTGCAAAATAGGAAATGGCTACATATGAGGCTCAAGAGAGAAACAATAGCCTGATTATGAGTACTCTATTTCCCTTCCGAAGAATTTGAACTTTCTCCCAAAGACTACAGAGAACCCTGACCATTGAATGATATTAAGAAGAGAAATGACACAATGAAATACAGTTCTATTACATTTAGTCTGGCATCAGTGAGCTTTCTCTTTTTCCTAGAAGTGGCAAGGACAAAACTGAAGATCTAATGTGTTTGAATAAAAATGGTAATTTTAAAACATATTCTGAGATTCTCTAATACTTCCTCCAGGTAGAAGTGGAGTCTGTGGCACCTTCCTTTGAATCTGAGCAGAACTTTGTGACTACCTTGAGAAACAAAATGAGGCAGAAGTGTCCCTTTAAAACTAAAATGACTAGATTACAAGAGGTCATGTGCTTTCTGCTGACTTCTTTTGGCAAATTTGTCCAGAGAGCTCCTAGGTACCATAGGAGAAGTCTAACTAGCCTGCAACCACTATGGGAAGAGTCGCATGGTAAGATCCTATAGAGAAAGAAAGAGTTGCCAGGCATGGTGGCACGGGCCTGTAATCCCAGCATTTTGGGAGGCTGAGGTGGGCGGATTGCCTGAGCTCAGGAGTTTGAGACCAGCCTTGGAAATGATGAAACCTTATTTCTACTAAAATACAAAAAAATTAGCCGGGCATGGCGGTGTGTGCCAGTAATTCCAGCTACTCAGAAGGCTGACAGGAGAATCGCTTGAACCTGGGAGGCGGAGGTTGCAGGAAGCAAGATCGTGCCACGGCACTCCAGCCTGGGCAACAGAATGAGACTCCATCTCAAAAAGAAAAGAAAAAGAAAAAAAAAGAGAGAGAAAGAAAGAGGTGGCTGAGGAGCACCAACTGTTTAAGTCTTCCCAGTCCAACTACCAAAAGTGTTAGTGAAGAAGCCTTCCAAAAAGATCCTACCACCGGTCACTGACTAAAACCAAAAGAGACTTAAAGAAATAATCGTCGGGCAGGGCATGATGGCTCACGCCTTAATCCCACCATTTTGGGAGGCCAAGGCGGGCAGATCACAAGGTCAGGAGATGGAGCCCACCCTGTCTTAGGGGAAAAAAAAAAAAGGAAAAGAAAAGAAAAGAAATAATTGTCTAGCTAAGCCCCATTACTTAAGATTTGTGAGCAAAATAGACGATGCTATCATTTTAAGCCATTCTTTTCAAGCTGTTTGCAATATAACAATAGATAATCAGAACTAAGCCAATTTTTTTTTTTAATGAAGATTAAAATAAAGTAGTGGCAGCTGCAATGAAGCAATGTGAGCACACAAATTATTAAGGACGATCCACTCATCTATAGTTCAGGGGCAGGAAATATTCTGCTGGTCTTGGAGTCAACCAGGCACATCCTGGTGGTATTTGACACTTGATTTGTGGATGGCAGCTTATTAAAAAATTCAAATTAAGTAATAAAATCCCTTGTTTAAATTCCAAGTTTAGCAAGCAAATTGAGCAAACAGCTGTGAGTAACATAAACCTCTAGGTATTGTATTTCTCATTGGAGACCAATGAACCAAAATTCTGGTTCTATATATCAGTTTAAATGTGATAATGTAAGATACCCTGGGCCTGGTGCACTGGTGCACACCTGGAATCCCAGCACTTTCGGAGGCCGAGGTGGGCGGATCACCTAAGGTAGGAGTTCAAGACCAGCCTGACTAACATGGCGAAACCTCATGTCTACTAAAAATACAAAATTAGCTGTTGTGGTGGCACATGTCTGTAATACCAGCTACTTAGGAGGCTGAGGCAGGAGAATCACTTTAATCTGGGAGATGGAGGTTGCAATTAGCCAAAATTGTGCCATTGCACTCCAGCGTGGGGAACAAGAGAGAAACTCCATCTCAAAACACAAACAAACAAACAAAAAGAGAGACCCTGAATCAAAGAAATCAGACCTATCTTTATGGTAAATTCCACCTGTTTTCAGATTCAAAT